GGTGGAGCCAGAGCTGACTTTCTATAGGTTATGCTAGCCCAAGAGCAAAGCCGCGACTCCGCGGAAGTGCCGGGCGAAAGACAGGACGATGTGGTCCGTGCGAGAATGGTGAATGGGACGACAGGCAACAATGGTTTGGGCCCTTCTGGAGTCGCTGGTTCAATGAGTTTGGAAAACCCGAATTTGCTGGATACAGTGCAGCTGGGAGATAGACCTGAGCGCGGATCTGTTGTGCCAAAGGCATCATCCCCACCGGACCCAGTCGAGCCACGGCACGAAACACCGGATTTGGGCGCGCACGTTTTTACGATGAATGGTGGAAATACCGGAGCAGCGTCTGTGGAACCACGGAGGCAACTGTCGCCTACAAGCTCAAGGGTGAGAGTGCAGGAGTTTTTCACTGAGCAGACGTCACAGGACGGAAGGGGAGAGCCGAATGGAGTTCGGTGGATGGCGAGGTTTTCGGAGTTCTTGCGGACTACGGCTACGCGGGGTGCCAGTGGAGTGGATAGGATGTTGGACGGTTTGGGGTTGAATCCATTGCCAGTGCAACCGAAGATGATGAGTACGATTTCAACCAGCACTGCTATGAATATATCCCCTCCTGAAGATCTACCCCCACCTCACACTCAGGCCCCGGCGATACCTGGTTCGTGGTCGACAGCAACCTCGCATCAGGCTCCTCTCTTCGGCCCCTCGCAGGTTGCACAGATGAGACAAGCCCATATGGAGTTTCCACATATTTACGGCCCTACTCAGGGGCCAACCCAGCCTTCAGAAGGAGAGTCTGACCGCTCGTCCAGGCTTCTTGCTGAGGTTCAACGACAACTGGAAGAACACCAGGCACGGCAAAAGGGTGAGATGGAGAGGCTGGAAATGGAAGTGGTCCGCTTGAGAGAAGAGAGAGATATGGAGCGTAGACTACGTCTGAGTGGAGTGTTTCATGATGTACCTCAGAGTTCTCATGTACCAGAAGGCAATCATGGTGCAATGTTCCCAAAGCAGTCGTTCGTGAATGACCCACCGGGACTTCTACGTGATGTGAACGGTCCTGGTGGAAATGCAGGCTTGCAATCGGACCTGTTGTCAGTCCCCAAGGTAGGGAAGACACCTGCTACAGGACTCGGAGGAATACGATATCCGCCTCCGCCAAGGACACAGACTTCGAATGAGCCAGAAGGGAATCATGGCGTGCTACCTCAGAGTTCTTATGTACCAGAAGGGAATCATGGCCAGCTACCTCAGAGTTCTCATGTACCAGGAGGGAATCATGGCGTGCTACCTCAGAGTTCTTATGTACCAGAAGGGAATCATGGCGTGCTACCTCAGAGTTCTTACGTACCAGAAGGGAATCATGGCCAGCT